GTCTGACCCACCCCTGAGGCCACGTGGTGAGGACGGGCCCCAGGACTGAGTGATGGGGCCTGCGTCTCACGGCCTGTCTGCTTCCCACTGCAGAGCCCAGCTTCCCCAAACCCAGCATCTACCTAAGACCCAGCGGGGGGGTCTCCCTGGGGGGAAACGTGAGCGTCTGGTGTCAGGGGCAGCGCCGGGGCGTGCGGTTCGTGCTGAATAAAGAGCGACGCCATTTCCCACCTGTGGATACGGACGAGTTTGAGGTTGTGTTTCCCATCAGCAACGTTCGCTGGGAGCACGGCGGGAGCTACAGCTGCTCCTATCACAGCAGATCTAAGCTGTTCAACGTGTCGTACCCCAGCGACCCCGTGGAGCTGGTGGTGAGAGGTGAGGGGCCCGGCTCGGCGTCCCCGTTCCCAGCCCCTCCCCCAGCCAGACCCTCACGGGCGCTTGGTGCCAATGGGATACTCAGAGCCAGGCTCTGCCCTGAGCCCTGATCCAGCAGAGGGGACGCCCGGCCGGGGAGCGGGGAGAGAGTCACTGGAGGGTTCCCCAGCCACGGGGGAGCAGCAGCCCCTGGAGACTCGGGGCAGGGAGGCGACTTTAACGCTGCCCCTTGTGCGTAGGAACCGAGAGTCGCTATTTAATCCCGCGATCCCATCCCCCCCCATTCTCCAGGCCCTGCCCCAGGCCGGAGCTGAATGGGGCAGGGATGCAGGAGAAGCAGTGCCTTGGTGGACACGGCGCTGGGCTGGGACCCAGGAGATCTGGCCCAGCTCCTGGTGCAGCCACAGACTCTGTGCGGTGGGAGCACGTCGCAGTTTTCAAAAGTGTCCTTCCTTGTGGAGGGGCCTCAATCTTTGGGGGATCTCAGGTCGAGCGCCCACAAACCCAGACGCCCACAGTTAGTGGAGAACTCTGCAAACGCTGGCCTCAATAGCGCTGGATCCCTTGTGTTGGGGGAGCATGTAGGGCCCCCGCCATGATCAGGGCCCTGTTGTGCCAGGCGCTGCATAAACACAGAGTGAAGAGACAGTCCCGGCCCCTGGGAGCTCACTGAGGAAAGTGACTATGTCTGTGCCTCAGTTTCCCTCTGTGTAGAATGGGGATAAAGACCCCTGTCTGCCTCCCAGGGGGCTGACTCCCTTCCTGTGTGGAGCTCGGGCCCTGCGGTGCCGGGAGCCAGAGACAAGCCCGTGACTCGGGCATATGAGGATCCCCAGAACTAGGGAGCTGCGGCTCGGTGTCTGTGGGGCTGGGAGCCCAGCTCGCAGGGCCGGGATTCTGGGTGGGGGAAACTCTGGGATCTGGGAGAGAATCCCTGCCCGGGGCCCCTGGATCTGTGCATGACTGCAGCCGGCCGGGGAGGAGGGGTCTGGGTGGGTGTCCGCCCGGGACTGACTCTCACAGCCTGTCTCCTGTGCGCAGATCCCAACTTACCCAGACCCTCCATCTCTCTGAGCCCCACTGGGGTCACTGCCCCAGGGGCAGATGCCACCATCCGGTGTCAGGGGCAGCGCCGGGACGTGACGTTCTTCCTGCACAAGGCTGGAGACCTGAACCCGCCGCGACACATGGAGCCTGCTGGGGATGGGGCCGAGTTCCACATCCCCACCGTGGGCCAGCAGCACGGAGGGAGCTACAGCTGCAGCTACCGGAACCGATCAGAGCCCTTCATCTCCTCGCAGCCCAGCGACCCCGTGCAGCTGGTGGTAGCAGGTGAGGGGCCCGGCTCGACGTCCCCACTCCCAGCCCCACACCCAGCCGGACCCTCGCAGGGGGCTCCATGCTGATGGGATGCTCAGAGCCAGGCTCTGTCCTGAGCTCTGGGCCCAGCAGAGGGACGCCCGGCTGCGGAGCGGAGACGGCACAGGTGACCGGTATAATATGGAGCTGCTGCCGAGAGACGCTGGGCTGGTGTCGGGGGCTGGGGGCTGCTCAGGCCTAGCACAGGGCTGGGGTCGCTCGGCATAGCATGGCTGGGGCTCAGGTCAGTTGGCTAATGGGGCTGACCCGGGACTGGGGCCGGACTGGGGTTGCTCTGGTGGCAGGGGTTGGGCTCGGGGTTCTAGCTGGCCTGGGGGCAGGGAAGGGGGCCCCCTCGGCCAGTTAAACAGGCTCATTCTGCTCAAGGAGCCGCTTCCATGGGGGAGCCACAAAGGGCTGGGGCTGGGTGGGGAGAATGGCTGGTGTTACTAGGGGTATGTGGGGCCCAGACACCGGGAGAGAGACACCAGCAGCCAGCGAGGTAGAAACCTGCACCAGCAATGTAGGGATCCTGCGAGCGGGGAGCCAGTGGAAAGGGACCTGGTGGCCTAGTTGTGTCATCGAAGGGGCCAGGCAGAGAACGGCAGGGAGAAAGTCCTGTTGAGAAGGCACAGAGATGGCAGGAACAGGAGGAGGCAGACAGAGGAAAGAGAGAGGCATGAGGGGGAAAGTTAGAGGAAGAACCAGGCTGTGAAACACAAAGAAAAAAGAGTCTCTAAGTTACAAAGCAATTGTTAGAAAACCGCAGGAGAAGTAAAGCACGAATGAAACGTGACAGAAACCAGCTGTGAGCAAAGAGAAACGGGCTGAAGAAATGAGGAGGAAGTGAGCTGTAGTGAAAGTAAAACTAATAGTGCGGACAAAACGTCCACCCAGCACCTTCAGGGGCAGTGACAGGAGGAAAGAAATTGTCCAAGAGCAAAGGGACTATAGAAAAAGCAGCGGAGGGACAGTTGTTCGATTGAGAAGCCGACCCATCCCCTGGAGAAATA